CAAATTAATTGTTTGTACAAGAATCAATTTAATAGTTTTATTTGATTATATGTATGTGCTCCATACTTGTTTGTATAGTTATTATCTTTGTATTGTTCGATTGTAGTTGTGAATTATATTGCAATTATATTTGTATTATTGTATGGATGTATTATTTATTGTTTTATATATGTTCCAAAGTATTATTTTCGTTATTCATCACTTTTATCCATGAACTATAGTCTGGATTGATGAATTATTTTGTTATATGATGTGATAATTGTCTATATATTATTTATTTTCGTATTAAACACTGTTAAGTTGATTATATTATTATATTAATATTATTCACCAAGTATGAGCATTTGTTTTGTAGTAGAATTATTATTTATTTAATGTTGAAGTTCAATTGCACATTGTGTTGACTTCTGTTATTTAGTTCTGATTGACATAATTTTGCTTCGTACCGAATGATTTACCTTTATGATCTGTTATGTCTGTCTGTAACTTCTATTGCTTAGTCAGTGCTTAATCCGTGCATTTTGTTATTCTATTTTTTGTAGCATCTGTAGCATTATACTTTCTGTTCTGTTGTTTATATTTAGTTATTAATTGTTTGTGCATATTATCCATTTTCTCCCCTTCAATCCAAGAAGGTATTTCTTTGAAGAATTGGATATTTCTTTAACGTTTATTAATTGTTGTTATAATATAATATTTATATATAATAATTGTAATTGCTTTCATGGTTCAATTTCTAATTATTAGTATTTTAAAGCTGTGCATAACGTTTGTTATGTTCTATAATGAGTAATTTAAGTGGTATTACTATTATATCTTTGTTACTGTTAACGTTCGTCAACTTATATAATGTGTATTTTGTTTGTTATAGTAGATAAGTACACATTATGTATAATATACAAGTTTCGTTTGTGCTCATTATCTTTTATTAATAATCGTTTGTAATTATGAATGAATATTTTGTTTTTGTGTTGAAAACATATGGTAATTCGTTTGTTTTTGTATAATATTCGTTTAATAATGTTGTAATTATTATTTATGTAGTGCTTTTAGTAAATGCACTGAGTTCTATTAAGTATGCTTGTGTCTGTTATTACCTATTTTATATTATACTGTCCGAGATAATAGCTTAAACATTTTATTGATTTATTTAATCATATTATATTATGATTATTTTCGATCGTAATTATTGTAATAATGTGTTCATAATAATAATATTTGTATTATTTGTTGTAATAGCCTTATCAGCTTAATACTTTGCTCCTACAAGCTACATTGTTACAATGTAAATTTAATAATTGTTTGTTAAGGTATATACACTGTACAGTTGATGTTGCTGTTGCAACTTCGAAATTTATTATATAATCAGCTGCTGTGATAACACGTTCTACATAATTAAGTTGTATTAATGTGTTGTTTCAAGTATAATAGAGATATAATTCTTTCGTTCGTTGTTAGTATACATTTACACAATTGTATTAATGTGTAAAGTAGCATCATTTGTTTAATAATTATAATTTTTGCACTTATTTTGTGCTGTAGTTAATATTTACACATTATAACATTATTCTTTTGTGCATAGTTAGTTTATACACTCTGTAGCATTGTTTTTTGGTTTGTAGTTATTCATTATACTTTTGTATATCTGTACTCATCTGTATATCTTAGATATGTGTATTATATTCGGTATCCAATAAGTAATTGCAATATCTGACATGTAACCACTGAATCCAATATGTTACATATAATTGCTCAACCATGATATGTGTTAGTTATTATATTGTTCTGTATTTGTTCTGTTAGTTCTATCTGTATTATTATCATTATTATTGTTATTATTATTGTTATTATAGTGTCTGCAATTGTATTATTGTTTATAATACATGTTAAATGTTTTATTTATTCGATTTAATATGCTGTTTAGCATATATGTGCTCGTTTTTGAGCATTAATTGTTTGGCCATGATATTACTATATGTGTTATTATTTGATTTATGCTATAACATAGTATGTTTGTTTGTTAACAGTGTCAATCATTTGTACTATTGTAATGTTAATAGTGGAAGAGTAGCGTTTGCTTTATTAATCTTTTTAACGTTTGTCTGTAGTATGATCAGTTATTTATTATAACATGATCTCTGTGATATTATAGAATATTTTAGCATTTAATAATCACAGTAAGTGATACTCATTGTAGTTTCAACGTTGCCTGCATAAATTATGTTATTACTGGGCCAATGATCATAATCACTAAGATGACGATCATATTATGTCTGGGTCGTATGTAGTACAGTAGATCGTGCGTTTGCAGTGTATTGATTTGCGTTTGGGATACTCAGACAGGTGAGTCGAGTTCTGTGTCGTAGTATGCTGCATGTGTGCATGTGATGTGTAGAACTGCATAGAGCATAGACGTAGTAGAGTGTAGATAAAGCGTAGGCAGGGAGCGCAAGGCTCATAACCTGTTAAGAAAGGGGGAAGAGAGGCTTAGAGGGATCACACAAAGAGGGGGGATAGTGGACTCGGCTCGCTCTACTTAGCGTCATTGTCCGTTGATTCAGTAGGTATATATAATATGTAGCTATGTCTCGGGTACGTCCGTTGCTTATATGCGTCATTCCATATATGTTAACAGTGCTATAAGAGCTCTATTTCCTGCACCAGAAACAGAGCTTTTAATTTGTTAGTGGCATGTTTTACATGCATGGCAGCAGCACTTTAATATTCGAGAGTTCCCAGAACTTTGGGAGACACTCAAAATGTGGCTCAGAATTTGTAACAAGACTGATTTCATGTCTACTTGGCAACATATTCAGAACATAGCACCTCCCTCTGTTGTTTGTTACTTAAAGTCGTATTGGATGAACGATATCAAGCCATGGTCTGCAGTATACTAGCAGGAGAGAAGTGTTCACGAACTTTCGGACACAAATATGCTGCTTGAAGCGTAAGTACATCATTCCATTATATTGAATGCCTTCTTATAGATTTCCATCCAGGTATCATCATGTATTAAAAGCGAATCATCTCGAGGGAAAGTGAAATCGGAGGATGGATTCTCTGATATACACACTGATAGAAATTACAGTCCCCTACTACAAATCAAAGCACGCTCGGCGGGACCTTGGACTCGAAGGCGATGACTTAGAGGAGAAAAAGCGTCAGGACATTGAGAAAAGGGCTTTACTCATCGAGAAAAGCCTTATTAAAGTAAGTTTCGTTTTAAAACAAGACTATCTATCTAATTATACATTATTCTAGCATATTGATGCGCAAATGTACTCAGTGCAGTCTTCATCCAAGCCTGAGACATTTTATGAGGTCGATCTTGATGCATTCTCATGCACATGTATCGAATTTCCTCATCGGGAAAAAGTCTAAAAGGTTATATTACATTATAAAGGTGTGAAAAAAGTAAAAAAAGTAAAAAAAGTAATTTACATATTATCGGACCTCGATTTCTGATAAAGTAGTATAACTTTGTATAAGGTACTGTAAGGTTTATTAATGTAATAAAAGTACATAAGGGTAATACCCCTTTTAAACATATAAAATGCATAATATCGGACCTCCCTTTTTTGAAATGTATTGTAAGGATTACCAAGTTTTGAAAGGGTAATACACGTTTGTAATGTTTTACAGAGACTATACATAGTTATTATTTCTTAATAATAATAATTTCCCCTTACATCCATTCATTATTGAAATAACAAAAATCAATTATATTAAAATATTTGTACGATACATCATTATCTACAATAATTAAGGAAAATAAACTGAAAACACATAC